AGCTTAAATCCCTCTAACACAGTTTGTTTCTTTTGAGGGTGAGGAATTAGCTTTTTAAATAAACTATGATACACTCTTTAACCACATATACTGTTTCTCATATAATGGTATTTAATATTTAGGTTTTTCTAACAACTGCAAGGCCTCATGCAATTGTTTTCTTTTTTGTATACTTTGACTAAACTGTGAGTGGATCCATAATGATTTCCATTTTAATTCCCCTCCCCCCCAATTCTCAGTCACCCATCATTTTCTGGATTGTTCATTTTTTGAGTTAAAAATTTCCAAGTTTGAAATCTGGCCAGAGGTACATTTTTAAATGCCTGGGCAGTAACAGTTCAGTTATTTCTGAGTATAAAAATATCAGCCAAAACATTTCAGAGACTTTTGGGGGATTTGCATGGCCATTTCCTGTTAGAATCTAAGGAGATTTGGCATCTAAATCATGTAAGTGGTTTATAAATCTCAGCCATATTCTCTGTATGTTTAAATCAAAATTGGTGACTTATTAATGAACAGTCGCCCAGTCAAAGTGACTCAACGGAGAGAGCTGAGAATTAGCATAGAATGATTCTCACTTTAGCAGAGGGGTCATTACTTTTTCCAAAGCAAAAATATTTTAATTTGACCAATCCATGAGTCTTTGAAAATGATTCACAGTAATGATTTCTCACTGAATTAGGAAAGTGCACAACTAAGGAGGGATTAGCTCTGCATGCTGATGTGGCATAATGACAGTCAAGAGCACTGAGGGCTCAGTCAGGTGTTCAGGGTTGGAGGCAAAGGCCAGTTTGTAAAGGGAACATTAATACTGGATCCTTGTGAGGGCTCATTATGATGCATTATTATTTCTCAGATAATACTAGCTGCTTTTCTTTACAGATTTCAATGCAGCTAGAAGGCCTCTTGTAATGCTAGGTACTATATTGCAGTATTTCTCAATGACTGGGCCTTAGAAATGCCCTAGGTGGATTGCAAAAACAGTGATAGAGGGATGTGGGCTGACCTGTGAATGTTCCCACAGCATCAGGCAGTGTTGTGCTGAGATGTCACACTGCTCTGCAAGTGCCATCAACAGCATGGGAAGAAACAAAGCTGCCTTAGCACAGTGCTGCAGACAGTCTAGTAATCCCAGACAAAAGACAGAACTAATGAGCCTAGCACAGTACCACTGGAACATAGTTATCCCAAATCTATCCCAGAGCCAATGCAAACAAAACTAGCTTGGGTGTTTCTGCAGTCTGTCTAGCAAGAGGACCATGAGAGAGGGAGGCTGTGTTACTGTACATGGGCTATTCATGTCTCCTGATGCTCCAACCTAAGGGCAGCATGGAATCCTGTTAAGGGCCGCAGAACTGCTTCTTCTCCCTCCTGGCAGGCAGGTGATTCAGAGGGGGTGCCACGATGCAGTTGAACCCCACTTCAATTCCTTGTCCATTCATGCTGTTTGCAGGAGATGAGGGCCCAATCCCACCAGAGTCAGGCTGGCCAGCCCCTCTTCCTAAGCTGGGTGAGCAGCCAGGAGTGCCAGCCATGTCTGCTGAGTGCCGGATCCTGCCAGATCTCTGCAAGCTCTGGAGGCCAAGGGTCTGACCTAACTGCACCCAACTTTTAAAAACCCTAGCTCTGCTATTCCTGGCAGGGGTGTGGACAGTGTGGCACTGACCTCACTGCCTACTCTACAGTCATTACCTAATCTATTCAATGCAGAAGAAAACACAAACAGGACCGTGACCCTTCAAGTTCTCTTCTGAGGTGCTCCTAGGAGGGTGTGCAGCTAAGAAGGACAGACTTTCACTTGTTTCCTCCTCCTGTTCTATTACACTCAACAGGTCAGCAATGCTTAGAACACTTGCCTAGGCAATAAGATACCCAGGTTCAAACCCCTTCTCTGTCTGATTTGGAGCAAAGGCTCTGTTTCACATTTCTTAGCAGTGTCTTAAGCACTGGGCTATAGGACAGTCTGAGCTGGGGCTCGCTCAGTATTCCCTCTTGCAACTATGTGCATATGCAACGCTTGAAGATTATCATTAGAGCAGTGGTGTGACCTGGGTGTTTCAAGGCAGTAAGCCAAGCTACATAGATATTTTCACTCTGTCTGGACCCAGCAAGTTTCATCTAAGCTTGGATTTCTTTGGCAGCTCTACAGAACAGAGGTCCAGCCCCTCACAGCCTAGAACCTCATCCTACAGGGAGGCACCTACTCTGGCTTTTACAAAAACTGACCAGGGGTAACCCTTTTCTTTTAAAATGTGGCTGATGGTGGTGATGCCAGTGCCCACCATTTAAGTAATAGCCTACTGGTTGGAGCACACAAGAAGTGAGACATCTGGATTCAGTACTATCCTCAGCCTATGCCCTTTCTCCCTTGACAGTGTCTTATCCACCAGGCTCTAAGCAAGTCTGCGGGAAAGGCTTTTTTTCCATGAAGTTTCTGGTTCCCAGTGGGTGCGTCTACATGAGGCACTTAATGCCCATTGGACTAATTCTACCCCGCATGAGTGCAGCTGGCAAAAACTGTACTAATGTACTAATGCGTAGTATCTTTATTCCAAAGGGCATTAAGCGTCACACAAAAAGCATTCATCTGCACTAAGGTGCAGTAGTGCCAATTATAACACATTTAGTACTTGTTATTACAGGTACTAAATGTAATGTGCCATAATTACGGCACATTAATGAATGTGTAGACATAGCCAGTGAGATTTAGGCAAGGCTCTTAGCTGCTGAGGCCAGGGCCATTCTGGGTATTTGCCTGTGTAGAAGCAGAACTGCAAATATCCAGGGAACATTCCTGTTTAACAGGGAGGCTCTGATCAAGTTTAGCCTATCACTGACCAGGGATTTTTTTTTTTTACATGATTTTGAGCTTGGGTGTCTGAAGTCTACCTAAATCCTGCTGCAGCCACCTGAGGCCTTCATAGAATTTAGTCCTAAATACCTCCAAGAATCTGGCTCCCAATTTAAGAATTCACAGGATTGGTGGGATTTTTGGGCTGGAGATCAGCTCAAACCAGTGGTGGTTCATACCAGGTGCTACCAGATATGGATTAAAGGAGCCCAGAGCCTAGGCACACCGTGACACAGGTGCCCTCCAAACCCTGTCCCCACACTATGGGACTGTGCATTGGGATGATGAGTTATGGGGTAGCTGGGCCATGGAACTGTAAGGCTAAGGGGAATGTGTGTGGCCGGATGGATAAAGTGGACAACCACAGCTATATTGCACCAGAGATCATCCATAAAAAGATGTGTGGGTGTGTAGACAGACAAAAGCATGCAGGATGCTGGTACAGTTAACAGAACTTAGGCAACGAACCCCAGAGCAAGTAAAACAATTCAGCTCCAAATTATGGCTGGTGACCCCCAGAGCCCTTGTTTCACAGGGTTACAGGGCAGCTCAGGTAGGCAAGACTTAGGCACCTCAGTCTCTGAGCAGATCCAGCCCCAGCTGACTGACAGGGACAGGGAATATGCCAAGCGGCTTTAAGAAAAGCACCCGGTGCTTGATTTCAGTCCAGAGGAGCAGTTCTGTCATTTTAACTACATACCCTACCCTAACTGTCATCTAGGCTCTGTTTGGTTTTATTCATCGATTCTGAGATCTTTTGGTCAGGGACAGGCCTCCATCGTTGTTTAGCACGAAGCACACTGTTCTTATCCTTATTACCGTATTGTTATTATCATAGTAGTAGTATTGTTGCTGCTGGTCTAATGCCTGTTTTACGCTTTTATTTATAATATCCCTAGTATATTTCTAATTCCTTAGTATAATTCCTACGTTTAATTTCTACCTGTTGCCTGTTTCATCGCGTCCTTAACTTCCTGCAGAGCTTCAGGGTCCCCAAACCTCGCTGGCAAGTGCGCAAAGGCACGGCTCGCCGGGCAGCGCCTGGGACGGCGAGCTCCGCGCAGCCGGACGAGCAACCCGCTCCCCGCTCCTCGCACGAGCCCGCGCGGCCCCGAGCTGCGGACCAGGGCTCGGCAGCGGAGTCAGGGCAGCCGCACGGCCCCGAGACACGGAGGGGCACCGCTTCGCCGAAAGCGGGCCCCGTTCAGCTGGTGTCAGCGGGGGGAGGTCGGTTTGGCCCCGACTGGTTCTTCAGCAGCGGAAGGGTTTGAAGCTAACCCCGCACAAGCCGCGCACGATGCCGTTCACAGGGCGCTTGGGAGGGGGGGGATCTCCCCAAGACCCGGCTTTGTGTGGATCGGGGGCCCGCTCCGCCGCGGGGGCAGCCCCGGGCCGGTGCCCGCCAGGCGCTGCATTATTCCTGCGGAGCGGCCCGCGGCTCGGCCCCGTGCGGCCCGG